CAGACCAAATAAAAAGAGCTACAAGGCAGATTCGCCGAAAAGAGCAAAATTTGCATCAGGATTTAATCCGGGAGCAAAGAAGGAGATATGATGCTGAGGCTGAGCGTGATAATGAAATTATACGAAGGCAACTTGCCGAAGGGGGGATGGATAGGGTCGTTGGTGACCTTCAACAGTTGCGAACTAATGGCCGAAACCAGGTTAATAGAATGTTAGATAGGATAGCAAGAAAGCAAACCCGTATAGGTGTGCTGGTACAAGAAAGATTTGCCTTATAGTTATTATATCAGCGAAATGCTCACCACTTACAGAGATGTAGAGGGGATATAGGTTTATTAGAGTATAATCGAGATAGGTTCTATGAGCGATATGAGAAATGGAAAAATAAGACTCAGGCAAAACGCCAGAATATTTTTAATTTGCAGGCACAAATTTTGGCGCTTCAGAATAATTCACCAAATCAAATAAACATGGCAAGAATACCTCATTCATATTTTGACTGGGATGATAGTATCCTAGACTTTCTTGCGCAACTTAGACTAGACTTGCAAAATCGGGGAATAGATCCAGCAGGTGCAGGGGCCAATAGAAGAGCTCAGGCACTAGGACATTTAAGAGCATGTATGAGAGGAAGAACTTTAGAATGGTTTGATGAAGAGATTACTACAAAGACAAATTGGGAATTAACTAATCTGACTGATGGTACAGGACAAGCTAATTTGGTAGCTGTAAACGGGCGTACGGCTCTTCAGATAGGTGCAGATGGATTAAATGAGGCAGCCAGACAACCTGGAAATGCAATAATCAAATTAAGAGCTGTAGAAGATCCTTGGAATAAAGACTGGCGTGTGGCAGGAGGACGTCCTACTAACCTTCCAGTAAATGCACCAAATGCTGGTAATGGTACTACAGTAGTTGTAGCTGAGATTCGATTCAGTCAAGCTGTATGGTGGTTAAAAACTCGTTTCCCTACAGTAAAAGAGGAGCTTCGGGATATAATGTATGGAACAATCAGAAAGGGGAATATGACTATAGATGAATTATATAGAAAAATATTACGAATAGGTAGACGAGCCAACTATAGGCCTGAAGAATTACGTAGAAAATTCTTAGATGCCCTTCCACTCCCATGGCTTGAAAAGGCTGAGGATATCGGTAAACATTTGCCATTGGATGAATTAGCTAAAAAGCTTTATGAAATAGAATTATGACGAATTGCTAGGCATAAAAGAGATAGAATACCTGATCCGCTAGTAACTCAACGAGCATCTCGAGAAATATATGAACCCTCGCCTGTTTCAGTTCCTCAACAGCAAGGTATTTCCTTGGCAGATATACAAAAAATATTTCAAGATGCACAGGCACAGGCACAGCAAAAAACTGAAAACCAGGCATTAGTAAAGAAAATTACAGAATTAGAATCTCAAATGGCTCAACAACAAGCACAAGTATCTGCCCCGCAAATAGTTGAATCAGTTAGACAGCCGAAAGGCCCACCAACTTCATTGAAAACAGAGGAAGGTCTTAAGAATTATTATGTAGCCGAATAC